TTCTATGATCATGTACCTACCATCCCACCATAGCATACCATTAACCCCAATTGGGGATGCTGGAACACATTATCCAATACACCTGGAGTATGACAGGTGGAGGAAGCCTGAAAGCTTCTGATCAGGCTTCAAATTCTAATGGTACTTAACTCTTACAATTAAGAATCCCAGTTTGGAATCATAAAAATATATATTTTTAAAAAAAAATGCAGGTCTCTCTTTTTAGTTAGAGGTGGTTTAAAAAGAAAGATAAAACAAAGATTCTTGTGCAGGAGCCCCAGTGCCATGAGGAAAGGAGGAGGGAGGTTCTCTCACCTGAGCATCAGAGTCTTGTACACAGAATCCCTGAGCTGGAAGACATGGTTGCTGACGGCCAAGTTGTGCTGAAGGCGAAAGGGCTCCAACACCACTCCATCCCGCACAGGAAAGGTCAGGCGCAACTCATCACATGGGTTTCCTGATGGGGTGAGACAAGAGAGCGGATTAGTAAAAAGCTGAGGATGCAGGGCTGCGGGCGTTGGGAGCACTTGCGCAGGCATGGGGGCCACCTGGATCTGGCAGTAGGGGACACAAAAAGGGATGGAGTACACCTGGGGACAAAGTATGAGATTGGTGGGTGGGAGGAAGCCACTGCCCTCAGAGTGCAGCCACTGAAACATAATGGAGCTCCCTGAGTGCCCTTCCCTTCATCCAGGGCCAAGCGCCCAACTGCCCCTTCTTACAACTGCCATGGAATCCAGGTGGAACATTCTATGGGTCCCAATCTACAATGGCTGCTCCTTTAGAGGGTTCATTCAGCCTTCTTCCAACAGCACCAGATTTCTAACCACTGGGCATGCTGATGGGAGATGGAGTTCAGAGCATCTAGACAGCAGCAAGTTGGGGAACAGTGAATCTACACACTGGTTGTATCAAAGGATGAAAAATATCATCATCTCTTTCTTTCCCTTCACCAACACATCAGCAGTAGTAAATTCATGCTAACAACAAACCCAGTTCTTCAAGTGCTAATATTTCTGTAGCCAAACAGCATCCTCCATGTCAGAGAGAGAGAGAGCATTATCCATGGATGAAACGTTACATTTGCCAGTGGACAAAATAACCTTGGGAGAAAACAACACCTACACCATACAGTTTCATAAGACTGAACATGAAAATATCTTCCTTCCTTCCTTCCTTCCTTCCTTCCCTTCACCAACATAGCAGCAATAGTAAATACATGCTAACAGCAAGCCCAGTTCTTCAACTGGTAATATTCCTGTAGCCAAACATCATCCTCCATGCACGAGAGAGAGAGAGAGAGAGAGAGAGAGAGAGAGAGAGAGAGAGAGAGCGCATTATTCTTGGACGAAACCTTAGGTTTGCCAGGTCCAACCTGTATAGAAAGATCTGAACAGTTAGGCTCACAGGATATTCCTTACTGTACCCTATGGCATGAACTATGCCACTACCCCCCTTTAATGAAAGATCAGTGAAGCTATCCAATTTAATCGTAATATTCCATCAGAAGCTCAAAGCAGATGGCAACAATTTTTAATAACATTAATACTGAAACAAAACTACACTAAAGAACTTTCTATTTCTCGCCCACAGTCAACAAGAGATGCATTTCATATTGAAATTATGCCCAGGTTAGGACTCGGGGATCGACCCTAGGAAGGAACTTCACAAAACTTTCAGCAGTTGTTGAAAATGCCTTTTTGGGGGACCTTAAGTGTTCAAAGTTGTGTGTGGACAATGATGAATTTGGGGAATGCAACATAATAAAGGAAAGGTTTTGTACACCTTACACTCTTTTGGGGAATTAAATCTTGCTCAGACTTCTGGACTCTCCTCATGTTGTGTGCCTTCAAGTCATTACTGATTTATGGTGACCCTAAGGCGAACCAATCACTGGGTAAGATTTATTCAGAGTGGGGTTGAGAGCATGTGACTTGCCCCAAGGTCACCAGTGGATTTCCATGGTAATGTGGGGATTCAAACCCTGGTCTTCAGAGTCATGGTCTAACCCTAAACCACTACACCACACCTGCACTCTCCTAGCTTACTAGCTTGGCCTATAACTTCTTATAATCCAACAGATGATATGCCTATGGGAATCAAGAGCTGGTCTCCAGAAACCTCTCAGAAGTATTTGTAGAAACCCCATAGAGTACAGTGGACCCTTGTTTTATGCGAGGGATCTGTTCCAGACCTCCACCACAACCCCGCGTAAGGAAATACTGCAGGACCTCAAGTCTTGTTGATTTCAATGGCGGTGCACTCCTGTGTAATGCATTGTGCGCATGCCATTAAGAGAGCTGGGGTCGCCATCCATGTGACCTTGAGTCCACGTATGGCGAGCCCTGCGTATGACAATTTTTTTTGTCAAGAAATTAAAATTAAGAGTGAATTCAGGGCTCCATAAAAGCATCCCCCAAGCTTATACTGTAGTTACTTGAACTCCTCTTCTGAACAGACGCAATTCAGCCAGAATTTAAGGGTTTTGACATGAACTTCTGACTTACCAGAGGGAGAAGGGTGTAAAGAGTTGATATTAGGTTTGATGTCTGGAAGGAACGGTGACTTCACATCCTGCCCAGGGGACATATATGGAGGGATGTTACTGCCAGGTGTCATTGGAGGGGTGGGATTGCCAGGTAGTGGGGAGCTAGGGTAACCAGGCATGGATCTTCCAGGCTGAAAAGAGAACCAAAATATTAGGCTAACTTTACATAACCAGAAACAACTTGAAGACCCTGTTACTAATGGACAGTGACAGATTGGTCATGAATAAGTACAATTTGTATGAGCCAAAGTGAACTGAAACAAGTCTCATGCTTGTATAATCCCCTCTCTTCCTCTCACATATCTAAGAGGAGCTAACAAGTTTCTGCTTCTACTTCTGAGTAGCTGAAGGTTGTTGTGCTGTCTGATCAAACTATGGTTAATTTGATCGAGGCATTTTCTGTAACTATGGTTTGAAACTGTCGTTTTAAATTAAGTGTTGTTAATGCTGAGCCACAGTTTGTCAGTGCAGACATGACAAACCACAGTTAAGCAAAAGCAGAAGCAATTAAGAGGAGGAAAGTAAATAAGACCAAGGCTTGCACTCCATTCTAGCTTATGCCCGATGTATGGTTTAGTACATGGTAGACAACTATCCAATTCTGAGAGACTTCACACACATACACCCAATGGATGTCAGAAAGCTACATCACCATCCATTTCAAAAAACTGGGGTGGGTTTTGAAAATTCAAAATACCCCCCAATCTGAGGGTGGGGATACGCAAAGCCAAATAGTCTTATTCTGATTCCCACCCTGGTCATTTTAGACCCTAAAAAGGCCTTTTCACAAAGCAGAAAGACAAAGGGAAGTCATGTCTGGTTTTGATAAAAAGGCCCCCTGAAAATCTAAAACAACCTTGGCGAAGCAAAAACATGGTGATATTCACATCACATTCCCAGAGTATTTTTGGTGGCGGGGGGGGGGGGGGGGGAGTATTCTGGGGGACGGAAATAATCAAAACCATTTTAAATTGGTTGGGAAGCTTGTGGGCTACAAAATGGACCTTGGAAGATGCATGCAGCCTGTAAACCCCACTTGTGTAATAAAAAATGAACAAGGGCAGAGTTGAGGAAAAGGGAGGACAGAATCTGGAAGTTTTTCTAATTAGGTTATGAATATAGTTGCTTTTCTAAAAAGGCTAAGAGATAGAAAGGCAATTAAAATAACACCTTTATAAAAAAAACACAGGTGGCTAAGATAAAGTGCCACAATAATAATAATAATAATAATAATAATAATAATAATAATAATAATAATAATAATAATAATAATAATTTATTTGTACCTCGCCCCTCTGTCAAACAATCGGGGCAGCTCATAGCAGTTAAAACGCCATACAATATTAAAATACAATCTATATAAAATCAAAATCTCCTAAGTCAACTAATAACATTATCTTCTTCCTTTTAATGAGGAGGAACAATCTATCCCTGGTTACCAAACCAATGTACAAAGCTAATTCCAGATTAATGTGTGGCACATGAGAGCAAGGTCTTATGTATATAATATAGGTGGTTGGATTCAATACCCATCTTTAAAAAGCAAGAAAATCAACTAGACAAAGATAATGGAATATGAGTGTCTGTGTATGTGTGTGTGTGAGAGAGAGAGACCCACACTGAGAAATAATCAAAATGAATTTATTTTATGGGTAGTTAATAACACACAAAAATATCATTAGAGTTCTGGAAATGAGCTAAGGAAGTGGTTCTTAAACTGTAAGGTAGGACCCCTGGGGCGGCATGAGAGGAAGAGAGCTATTTCCTTATAAGATGTTAAAATAGGAATATACATACATGAATGTATGAATGAAAATACACACACTAAACAAACAAAATATTTTTGTTCATATACTATGTGTTCAACATCCAAATGTATATATAATGGGGATCACAAGGGTAAAAAGTCAGAACCACTGAACTAAGGTCATGTAGTAATAAGAGAGCTGGCCTGCAACCTAGAAGATCTGAGCTAAAGATCCCGTTGAGCTATAAAACTCATTGGATGAGATTGAGGCCACTCACTTTCTCCCAACCTAACCCACATCATAGGATTTTGTCAGGATAAAGTAAAGAGACAGAGAGCTCTGTACATATCCTTGAGATCATTGGTGGAAAGAAAACATGTAAAGGTAACTAATAAGTAAGTAGTCACCATCCAGATTTACTCATTTTTCCCAGTGTTTCTTGGCCCTCTGAATACCTAATATTGTAGAAGTCTGCAGATTGCGCCTTATGAGCATATCTAAAGTAATAATTATCACCTGGAAGTTATTATGGTATATTGATGAAAT